ATTCTTCTTCTTCAGTAGTGCTTTACTTATTCGGGGCTTCTTCCCTTTCCATATAAAGTTAATGATTAGTTTTTCCATGTCTTTGAAGAATGTTGCTGGTATTTGGATCGGGATTGCGTTGTATAGTACGTATATCTTTTAATACCACAATTCCACTTCTAGAAATTTGTCTTAAATAAGCATAGATATGTACAAAGACTTAACTGTAAGCATGTTCATTCCATGTGGTTTAGTACAGCAAAAACAAAAGGAGAAACTTTTCAAACACCATGAGACTGGCTAAACACCCTATAGTTAAAAAGAATTCCAGGTCAAGAGAGTAGGCTGAATACAAACATCTGCTTATGATCGCACCTAAAAGTATACAAAAATGACAATAAAACAGATTTAAAAAAAAATAACAAAGAAAGCCACACACAGCAAAAGCAGGAGAGAAGACAGCATTCTGGAACCTAAAAAGCAGAGGTGGGAACTAATTCAGCATACTCAAGAAGGCTGCTCCTCAGCTAGCAGGAGGCGAGTCGAGCAGCAATTTAGACCATGGGCGCCCCTCCCCAAAGGCCTAGAAACTGTTGGCACTTTCATCCAGATGTTGATGGAGCTCTGATTTGGAAGAATGGCTGGGACAGTCCACCTAGGGAGCAGTGAGGTGCCTGGATCCTCATCCTGACCCCACACAAGGCGGATGCCCTTCCATACCCCGACGGAGACCAGAGATTTATTCTGCTGGGGGGTAAAAAAGAAGGTCTCTGGACAGCTATGTGCAGAGCAGCTTTATTCATAAAAAACCAAAAACTGGAACTAGCCCAAATGTCCACCAGATGAACAGATAAACTGTGGTATATGATATAATACTCAGCAATAAAAAAGAATAAAGTGTGTATACCTAAAAGACTTGAAAGCAGAAACTCAAAAAGAGATGTGAACACCAATGTTCACTGCAGCACTATTCACAATAGCCAAAAGGAGGAAACAACCTAAACGTCCAACAACAAATGAATAGATAAACAAAACATGGTATGTACATACAATGGAATACTACTCAGCCAGTAGGAAAAATGAGTCTTGATACATGCTACAATACAAATGGAGCTGGAATACATTATGCTGAGTGAAATCAATCAATCATAAAAGGACAAACACTGTATGACCTCACTTATATAAAAAAAACAAGAAAAGACAAATGCACAGACAACAAAGTTTGTTAGTGGTTACCAGGGGTGGGAGGGAACGGGAAGGGGGAGGTTAGCGGTGACAGACATATCACACTGATAAAGGGTAGGTTGTGTCTTAGTCATCTTAGTGCTGCTCCAACAGATATACCACAAGTGGATGGTTTTAACAAAGAGAAGTTTATTCTCTCACAGTCCAGTAGGCTACAAGTCCAAATTCAGGGCATCAGCTCCAGGGGAATGCTTTCTCCATCAGCTACGGAGGAAGGTCCATGTCATCAACCTTCCCTTGGTCTGGGAGATTCTCTGCGCAGGAACCTCAGGTCCAAAGGACGCGCTCTGCTCCCAGCACTGCTTTCTTGGTGGTATGAGGTTCCTATGTGCCTCTGCTCACTTCTCTCTTTTATATCTCAAAAGAGATTGCATTAAGACACTATCTAATCTTGTCAACCTCATCAGTATACCCTCATCACAGTGACAGAATTCACAACACATAAGGAGATCACATGTAATCTCATCATAGTGATAGAGTTTACAACACATAAGGAAATCACATCAGATAACACGATCATACAATACTGGGAAATCATGACCTAGCCAAGTTGCTACACACATTTTTGGGAGGACACAATCCAATCCATGACAGGTTGTACAGCCAATTACTATAATCGCTGACAATAAGTTGTACACCTGTCAAAAGTTGTAGAATAGATATTTTACAACAACAACAACAAAGAGTAGCTAGTGAGGCTACTTATGTATAACCAAAAACTTCATGGGATTTGGTTTCTTGGTTTGGAGGTTTGGTATGATGGTTTCATAGGACATCCCAGTTAACTGGCCTGGTAACATGTTTAGTGCCTCTGTTCTACCTCCTAGTTCAATGCATAGTACCTGGGGTCTTAAAAGCTTGCAAGTAGCCATCCAAGGCACAACTGGTCTCTACTGGGGAGCAAAAGAGGAAGAAGGAGAGTCAGGAATAGCAGGAGGATACAGAATGTGTGGCTAATTGCCTTCATGAGCAACTGCCTCCTTTGCTGTGAGATCAGAACTGGATGGTGCTCAGCTACCATTACTGAACATTTTGATCAAAGTTTCCACACAAGAATTCTGATCAAAAGGGGGAAAATGCAGAACAGAATTAAAAATTCTCTTGGACTCCAGACTCTTGTAGTCATGAAGATTGGATGAATCCCTGAAACTACTGCCCTGAGATAATCTTTAAACCTTAAACCAAACATATTTTCTGAAGTCTTCTTAAAACCACACAACAGTTTAACTAGTAAAGAATGTCTGCCTTGAGCATTATGCTCTTGTAAGAACTATCTATATGGGATCAAACTGACAATAGCAACTTGAAAGATTAAACAGAAACCTTAAAAACCAAAAAAACCAAACTCGCTGCCATCAAGTTGATTCCAACTCATAGCGACCTTATAGGACAGAACAGAACTGCTCCATAGTTTCCAAGGAGCGCCTGGTGGATTCAAACTGCCG